TAGAGCCCACTGTAACTACATAGCCAAAAAGGCATTAAGAGTTGTTAACCTAATCCTATGTAGCTTTTTCTCTGGTAATATCACACTACTAACTAGAGCATACAAAACATTTGCTAGACCAATACTTGAATATAGCTCACCAGTCTGGAACCCACATTACATATCTGATTAATACTGATATTAATACAGTAGAGGAAGTCCAGAAATATTTTACAAGAGTTCTCCACTCCTCTACTCATTGCAGAATATCATTTGCCACCAGACTTGAAATTCTAGACCTAGAAAACTAGAACTACGCTGCCTTCGGTCCGATCTAAGTATAGGATATAAAATTACACATTGCAATGTCCTACCTGTCAATGAATACTTCAGCTTCAACCATAACAACACAAGAGCAAACAATAGGTACAAACTCAAGGTTAATCGCACCAAACTTGATTGCAGGAAATACGACTTCATCAACAGAGTCATCAATGTCTGCAATACTCTACCTGACTCTGTGGTTTCTTCCCCAAGCCCCAAAAACTTTAACCTTAGACTGTCTACTATTGTCTACATTACCCTTTCCTAAGAGATTTGTAGGGGGTGTGCATAAGCGCACCAAAGTGCCTACCGTCCCTGTCCTATTGTTTCTTCTATTTTCTCATATGTATCCATGTATTCATAACTATGTTTATACTTATACCTATTATCTTGTAAGCAATTGACAAATCAAATAAATAAATAAATAAAAGATCCCTTTCAACTCTGTTATTTAGAAGGTGAATTTGGATGGTAGTGAAAAATCTCAGCTGCCATATGTTTATTTCTGATTCATGCCCATTGCAAGACCCCTTGGTGTTTCCTCAAGCGAAAATGACTGACTTGTATTTGTAACAGTGAAAAGTCATTTTTCTCATTTAAAAAGTGGAATGATCTCAGACTTTGAACATATTATTCCTGAAAGAGTAGGCAGTTACATTTCCCATATTTAAAGCACAATTAAAATGTCTAAATTATAGTTTTCTTGAAAGAAACATTTGCTAGTGAATCTGTCAAAGGGGACTGTCATTTTAAAAGTGTACTTTGTCATGTTTTTCCTGGCTATAATTTGATTGATTTAAATGCACGTCTTCATATGTTTGCATAAAAATATATTAAAAAATATGTATCCTTAGTTTAAAGAGCTTGTAACGCTGTGAAAGATTTTCGCTCAACCTATTGTATAAGGAAATATATTTAAAAATGTTATTTTAAAGCCTCAATCCTTCCAAAATAGAAAAGAGCCAAAATTATGGTTTCTCTTTCTGATGTCATAATGCCCTCAGCCATATTCTGGATGGATATGAAACCAATTCCCCATTTTTGTTTCCTTTTTAAAGAAATGTTTGACTTCCAATCACAATGAAGTTGTGCACCCCTGATAAATTCCTGCTGTCATCTATGATCAATATAGACAGAAGCTAGTGTGAGTTGAAGGACAGCACTATCTAGAGGTCCACAAGACGGAATTATAGACTTTGATGAAGTTCTCTCTTTTAACCTCATAATGAAACTGAAAGCAGATAGAATGGTTGTTAGAGACATTAGCTGTATTTGCACAGCATTCCATAATTAGTTTTAATTAGGGTTTTTTTGTAGCTTCACAAGTTGTAGAAATGGAAGCTTTACTGCAGTGCATGAATTCCAAAAACGGGTTAATATATTCACCTGGTTAAGTCTGCTGATCAATCCAGCTAATTATACCAGCTGTCTTTGGCTCCAGAAATGATGTTGTATTATTAACATTTGTTTTGTTTTCTCTTTTATCTATCCAGGATCAAAATCTCAGAATTACCTGTGGAATACCATTATTGGTGGGCTTACAGGAAACATCAAGGAGAAACAGAAACCAATGATCGTCCATGATCCAAGGCCTCCTGAGGAAATATTAGCAGATGAGCTGCCCCCAGTGGAAAGTCCAGAAGCATTAGTGAAAACTTCATTCAGGTTTGGTGGATAATACAGATGTACTTATCTTATCATGGAATTGCGTAACTTTCTGGGATAGCCAGAGTAGTAGAGGTTGTTGTCTACAATCTTTCAGAAAGTGTTATGTAGGTAACAGAGTAACTTTATTCAAAACCATTATGAAGACATTAAATTTAACAGCTTTGTTGAACGAAATAATAAGCAATCAAGTAAGAATATTCAGAAAGAAATGAGAGTATTCTGAACTCTGATGATCTCAATGCAATTTTAAAAGCATATTGTCAAATTTGTTATGTTTTTCCTGGCCTTTTCTTTTTTTATCACTAGCTGATTTCTGGCTCAGAAATATCTAATACTAGCAGGGTACCCTTGCTTCGCTATGAAACTATGTGATTTGGCAAGTTTTGGGGGAGGAAAATAAGGGGAGACAATTGTGCTTCTGCCTACCAGCATCCATCGGTATTCATCTGGCTAGCATCCTGTCAGTGTGTGAGACAGTTCAGGGCTGTTTGGAAACTGAAACAGTATTTGCTGTGTGAGCAAGAAGGAGACAGCAAGGAGCCTGAAGTTCAGACAAATCTGTTCCTTCTACTGTAACACCAGTTAAAGGGAAAAGAGGCAAAAACTGCAGAAAAAGATTTACAGATGTGATTAGGAAAACACAAGTAAGGGAAGCTGCACACAAGTATCGTCAAACTCATCCACAAGTCAGTAGACAGGCTGTAAAAAAGTATAATTGAATAATCCCTACGTTAATCAGTCACAAATGAGATCAATGCCTTGGACTAATACGTATTTCTCTGGTTTCCAATATGTACCTCAGATTCATTATTCCAGGGAAAAGGTTGTTGATCCCAGACCTCGGTTACTTTGTGCCTTCTGCCGTGCTCTAAAGTGGCAGAATGAGAGCCCTGGGATGTGCTGCAGTGGCTCCCTCCCCTTCAGCCTACCCTGAACCCTTACACACCAACATCCAATGGCAAAGCACTTTCTTTCTGTTATCTGGAAGTACAACAGATAATTCCACATGACATTTTTTGGTACCAGAGAGGTGAAGGAGGGAAATTTTATGCTAACGTTCAATGTCAAAGGCAGGTCTACCACAGGATAGGGAGTATGATGGTGGGGCCTTATCAGCAGCCTTCATTTCTCCAGATATACTTTGTTGGTGATGATGACAATGAGAAGGACATCCATTGTGGAATCTATATATCTAAAAGCCTAACTCATGCATCATCATGAAATCTTCAGAACTGTAAAGACTACAAAGTTGAAATTTGGCACGTATGTTCCTCTTGGCTTCTAGGTGCTCACTAACAAAGGATTTTTTGAAATGACCATCAGACCATTACTATTTCCTATATTATTATTAACACACTCTGATGCTAAGGAGTTCTACTACCCCTCCCCACCTGAAAAGAAATACCTTCCAATTGCAGTTGAGCTAAGCCATACCAGGCTGCTTGCTGTCTCCTTCTTGCTCACACAGCAAATACTGTTTCAGTTTCCAAACAGCCTCGAACTCTCTCACACACTGACAGGATGCTAGTCAGGTGAATACCAATGGATGTTGATAGGCAGAGGCACAATTCCCCCCCACTCTTATTTTCCTGCTTAAAAACTTGCCCATCACATAGTTTTTTAGCGAAGCACAGGTACCCTGCTAGTTTGAGATAGATTAACTGCACATGCATCCAAAGACCTGGAAGAACAACTGGATACGTAGCCAACACCTGGATCTAGTGAGAACATTAGGCTATCATTCAGATTGCAGAGATCCAGCTGAATGGTAGTCAAGAGAGGGAAGGTAGTTAAGACTAATAAGGTGGAACCACTGGACCATATAGCAGACCAGATGCAAGAATGTTGGTATTCTACAGCCACATGGAAATCATGATGGAGAGGCAAGGAAAAAACAACATCCAAGTACCATCAAATGATAAGACAGGTTCTGATGAGCCAATTCAATGGGAAGAACATGATCCACACCATCAATACATATGGCCTACCAGTCATCAGATACCCTGATGATTTAGTGAGTTGGCCAAAGGAAAACATGGAGGCTGCCAGTGTGAAGACCCAGAACCTTCTCACAATGTTTCCACCCCAGGAAAAGTGGTGGCAGGAGCACTCAGGGCTGCAATTTCTAAACTGGGACATTGGCTCCAACAGATCCAATGAATGATGTAAGAGCTCTCTGTCCAGAAGAATGCAGTGTTAGGAACAGCTATGACACTGTGCAGAATTATCAAATTCCCAGAGCCCTGGTAGAACACTTGAGATTAAGAAAAATATAATTTTCCCATGCAACTTACTAACTGTATTTTTCCACTGCTTCTTCTGAAATGTTACCAATTTCTACAAACCTGGTGTTATTTGGAAGTTTCTCATCCAAATAATAACTAGGCCTGTTGAACAAAAAACTTCAGGGAAGAACTTTTGGGAATTTGAAGAAAGGATGTTCTTCCCAGTTAAAGAGAGAAGGACCAGTTTCATCTCCTTGTATTTTGCATATTCTTAGTCAATTGACTAAGACTAATCAACTTTCTCTGACATTTGATCTTTCCAAACGATTCTCCCTAGCTTTGGACTAGAATGAGGTCAAATCAGGATGCTGGGTAAGAGAGGCGTTTTGGTTATTATAGGCTGTAATGAACTATCTTGGATTATAATGAGATAGATAGCCATTCAAGTTCTTTTAATGAATAAATAAGGAAAGAAGGTTACCTGAACAGAGAAGAACCCATTTCTAAGTAAATATGCAAAAGATGTGAAGTGAAACTTAGAGTGGTGGGGAAAAAAAGAAACATAACAAAGCAATTAATAAATGTTGGGAATTTATTCTGATAATGACCTGTTTAGATGAAGATTCTTCTGTTAGGTGTTACCTCAATTATTAAATAGGAAAAATTCAACACATTTTCTGGAAGCAAAATCTGTACTGGATGCAAAATAGATATGCCTTCAGTTTGAGAAACAGGTGTTGTATCTTCAGTTTTCTATTGCATATGTGAACTGAAAATGAGACAAGAAAAGAAATAGAACATAAAATCATGAGCATTATTGGTATGATAGACATTGCCCAGTTTTGGAATTGCAAAATGACCCATTGGATGTATCAATATACAAAGCTGCAGAATTATCTGATAGATCAAATAATTACAATATTTTAAATTGATATTTTAGTATCTTTAAAAACATTTACATATGATTTGTGAAAAATTCTTTTTAAGAGGATGTACAGGGCGCTTCAGTAAAGTATTTTGGATTATCCCTCTTTCTACTCAGAGTTCTTAAACCATACAATAATCCAATTAGTATTTAGTATTTGAATGTCAGTATAACTTCTCAGATTATAGCACATTGATTGGGGATTAGAAAGAGTAAGAATTTACAATTGTTTTACTGGACTATGTGGTCAGGAAAATGCTCATAGTTGTATTTTTTGGTATGTATAAAGCCTGAAATAGAGTATGGATTCAGGACAGTTTTTCATTTATCTGAAGTAAAGCTGATGAATTTCATCCTTTTTGTTCTGACTCAAAACTCTCTATGAAATCCCATTTCTAGTTTATTCTTTTTAAAGATGTGACATTTTGCTTATAATGACCCTCCAAAAACAATTCTTCTGTGGAAGACCTTGGAGAGGAGGGAAAGAAATAATCCATTGATTATTGGAATCAGTGACTGATAGGTCTTCCTTCAAACCAGAGTGCCTCTTGGGATCATTACCATCAGACAACTGCTTATTGTCTTATTACATATCTTGGGGAAGATAAAATGGGTGTGGAGGGAAATAATCTTAATTTTAATGCTTGCTCCAACTCAGTATATTGCCTAATCTTCCATTTCATAGTTATGATGCTTTGTGATATGTAAATTAGGTGACTGTATTAATACTGTAAGGGGACACTACAAAAATCTTTAGAATATTGAAAGGGATGTCCACTGTCACCTCTGCTCCTTATTCTGACATTAGAGACATTATTAATTAAAATTAGAACAAACCCAGAAATAAAAGGAACCAGTACAAAAAGGAAGAGTACAAAGTACAGACATTCGCGGATGATCAGGTATTTTTTATTGAGGAGCCACTGTGGTCCGGACCAACTTTGATACTAAAATAGAGAAATATGGAGAAGTTTCAGGTCTTAAAATTAATAGAGTTAAAACTAAAATACTAGTGAAAAAATGTAACATTAAAACAGAAAAAAGAATTAGAGAAAGTAATCGGATTACAAATTATAAAAAAATATTATTTAGGAATTTGGTTAATGGCGAGATGCTCCTCAATAAAAAAAGACAATTATCTGAAATTATTCCATCAAGTTAAAAAAGATTTGGAAATGTGGGGGACTCTACAATTATCTTTATTAGGACAAATAGCAACTATCAAAATTAATATTTTACCTAAACTACTCTACCTATTCCAAACAATTCCTTTCAAATTAAGTAAGAAATTTTTTATAGATCTAAATAGAATAACCACAAAATTTATTTGATCAGGTAAGAAGGCATGGATAAAATTAATAGATTTACAGGATAGCAGAAGCAGAGGTGGCTTTGAACTCCCGGACTGGGAACTCTATTATAAGGTGGCGACATTAGTATGGTTTTGAGATTGGATTAATTTAAGAAATAGAAGAATGCTAACACTTGAAGGGCATAATCTACAAAAGGGGTGGGATGATTTCTTGTGGGATAGCGAAAATAAGTGAAAGCTATATTTCTATAGGCATAAAATAAGGGATGCTTTGATACAAACATGGGGAGAGATAAAAAAAGCACTATATGAAAATCCCAGGTTGGCTATCCACCATGGAAGCAATGATCCACCCCAATACAATGGGTGTAGGAAAAATGGCCAAATACAAGGAAATCTTAGATAACCAAGGGAAATTTAAAAAATGGACAGGAATTGAAGGATCAGGGAATTCTTATAGATTGGTGACCATACTTGCAACTACAATCAAGATACAAAAAGGGTATTGAGGATTATGGAATTGACATTGAGCCACAGAAAACTAGACAAACTTTTATTGGCCCAGAAGAGAAATTGTTATAAAAATATATATAATTACCCATTAGAATTTGACCAAGCAGAGGAGATAGTAAAAGGATCTATGAAAGCATGGGCCAAAAATTTCAGGTACAGCATTGAGTTAGAGGAGTGGGAAAAAATTTGGAATATAAATTACAAAATAACAAAGTTGGCGGCCTATAAAGAAAACCAATACAAAATGTTTTATCGCTGGCATTTGGCACCCACAAGGCTGGCTAAGATATATCCAAACTCAAATCCAAACTGTTGGAAATGTAGACAAAAACAGGGTAGCTTCTATCATACATGGTAGTTATGCCCTGAATCGAGAAAATATTGGAAGAAAATACAAAAGTGGTTACAGGAACAGGAAGTCAAATAAAATTTTCTCCAGAATTATTTCTCCTAGGGATAACTAAGAGGAAATATAATAAAAGGACAAAATATATGGTGTTACATATAATAACAGCAGCAAGGATTGCATATGTGCAGTGTTGGAAGAAAGATTGCATACCATCCAAAATGAGTGCATGGAAATGGATAAATTGACTATAGAATTAAAAGGAAAAGGAGATTCTGAATACTATGCAATATGGGAAAAATGGTAGGATTGAATAGATAATAGAAATAGGAAAAGGAAATGTACATAATAGATGTAGAAGGTATAGAAATAGAATGTATAGATTGTGTTGGACATGAAATGTAGTTGTATAAAAAATGTCACAATATTGTTTAATATGTGATTGAGATATATAAAAAAGGAAAGAGCCAACAAAAATATATCTAAAATAATAATAATACTGTAACTGCTTTATTTTATGGAAAAGAAAGACTAAGTGCATTGCATTCAGGGAGGAATATCATACAAGTAGTTCTCATTTAGCAATCACAATTGGGATTTGAGGTTAAAAGACCTGTCTCTGTGACTCTGTGGCTCTAGCCCAAAGACCTTCTAACCTCCAGCCACTCACCGTGCATGAACATCAAGTGAGAGTTGTGCTGAAGGCTGTAAATCCCAACAAAGTTGCAGATCGAGACGGGGTGTTGGGGAAAGTAGTAAAAACCTGTGCTGATCAATTAACAGGGGTCCTGACAAGGATTTTTAACATCTCCCTGCAACTGGCTAGAGTCCCATCATGCTTGAAAGCAGCCACAATTATTTCAGCTCCAAAGAAAGCAGCCATAAACAGCCCGAATGACTATAGATACATTACCCTGACATCTATAGTGATGAAGTGCTTTGAGAGATTGGTCCTACAACACTTCAGGTCCTGTCTGTCATCAAATTTTGATCAATACCAGTTTGCTTATAGAAGCTGTAGTGTATTCAAATAGAGACTTTTAAGACTACATTCCTATTGGTTAGTTAATGCAACATAACGATTGGTTAATAATGACAGTTTCGGATTGGCCGCCTAAGCGGCGGGAAGTTTAAATAAATGCCATTGGTTGCGAGCCGTGAGCAGCCGCTATAAAAAGGGCTGCTGCGGCTCGACTTTAGTTGAAGTTACTGGTTACTAATAAAGAGCTGAATTCAACTCCGGTCTTCGAGTGTCTTTTGTCCTGGCGATAGAACACTGGCGACGAGGGTGGGATTGAAGAGACAAAGACCGTAAGCACGTGGCAACGATAGCCGAAGGACCAATGAGATGGCCGGCAACAATTTGCCACCCACACCGTTCAACCCAGCTGAAGAAGACTGGGAGTCATACATTGACAGATTCCTGAAGTTTTTAGAAAGCAATGAACTGCAACGAATCACTGACCAGAGAAAGAGAGCTGTATTCCTAACGCATTGCAGCCCAATTATCTTCAAAATGGCCAAGGCATTAGCAAGACCAAACGATGTTAAACAAATGGCCTGGGCAGACCTAAATCGGATGTTGAGAAACCATTACGCACTGGCTGTATCCAATCTCATTAGAAGGCACGAGTTCTACAAGCACGACCAGCTAGAAGGTGAGAGTATTGGAGACTTTGTAGCAGCCTTAAGAGACATTAGAGGGGCATGCGAGTTCTTCAACATGGATGAAGCCATGAGGGATCGCATGGTCCTTGGACTAAGAGACACAACCCTACAGAGCAAACTGCTAAACCGACCCAACATCACCACGAACGAAGCCATTGCTGAAGCAACTGCCATGGAAACCGCAAAGAAAACTGCAGCAAAAATGAAACAGATGAATACAACGAACAGTCTGTGCATGAATAAAGAAAAGAAAACAGAGGGAGCCAAAAAGCATGCTGCCACAAACTCTCACCGTGAGGACATTGAATCATCAACCGATTCAGAAGATGAAGATGAGGAGGTAAACAGGCTCTACTCAGAGAGGAACCGGAGAGAGAGAGACGAAGTAGAAAACCCGAGTTCCAGTGTGTGGGTTGCGGCAGAAACCACCCAAGGTCTGAGTGTCGATTCTTGGATGCCACATGCCGGCATTGTGAGAAACGGGGGCACATTGCAAGGGTCTGCCAAAACAAAAAGAGCTATAGTCCAAAGGGACAAAGCAGTACCCGCCCCAGAAACAAAGAAAGGTCAACCGGAAGCTGCTGGAGCCGAGACGGTAAAAATCAACGGCTCAACAAAAAGGAAGAAACGCATCAAACAATCACTATTGGGACAGCCAGAACAACAAACACTAAGAAGGTTCGAATCAACGTCCTGATAGAAAGCGAGCCATGTGAAATGGAAATAGACTCCGGTTCGTATTTATCAATGGTATCATGGAACACAATAAAAAGTTTGATACCAGACATAAAACGTAGAGAACTTGAAGAGCAAAGCCTGATCATCAAGGACTACCAGGGTAACAAGATACCAGTAGTGGGACTAGGACATTTCAAAGTGAAATTTAAAAGACACACCGAGATTCTTCTATTAACCATCATTGACAGAGATCGCCCCAGCCTGCTTGGGTTAGAATGGTTTGAAACACTTGGAATTGAAGTGACAGGGATCAACAGCGTCACCATGACAGATTGGGAAAAAGACCTGATGGAAGAATTCCATGACGTATTCGACAGGACTTTAGGCAAGTACCATGGGACCCTTATATCATTTAGCTTAAACCCGAACATAGCTCCCATCAGGCTTAAAGCCAGTCAGGTACCATTTGCATTAAGACCAAAAATTGACAAGCAACTAAACAAGGTAATCGCTCAGGGGGTGCTAGAGCCAACTGACCATGCCAGATGGGAAACCCCAATTGTGACTCCTATTAAAAACTGATGGGTCCATGTGCATCTGTGGTGACTATAAGGCCACCCTGAACCATGCATTGCAACAGAGTGCATATCCCGTTCCGGTAGTCCAACACCTGTTGCATTCATTAGGGAGAGGAAAGATTTTTGCGAAGCTCGACCTCGCGCAGGCATATCAACAATTACCCGTTGATCCTAAGACAGCAGAGGTGCAAACCATTATAATGCATAGAGGAGCTTTTAAATGTAATAGATTACAATTCGGTGTAAGCGTGGTCCCTGATGTTTTCCAGAGCCTAATGGAACACCTCCTACAAGGACTAAAAGGAGTGGTACCCTACTTCGATGATGTACTAATATCAGCCAAAAACAAAAAACAACTAAAAGACCATTTAAGGGCAGTTTTGGCAAAATTTAGAGAAGCAGGACTCAAAGTTAAAAAAGAAAAATGCCAACTTGCCACAAACCAGGTCGAGTTCCTGGGATACCTTATTGATGAAGCAGGAATCCAACCCACGAAAAAGAAATACGAGCAATAAAGGAAGCTCCTAGACCCAAAAACAAAATGGACTTACAAGCATTTTTGGGACTCATTAATTTTTATCATGTCTTTCTGCCACAGAAGGCAACAGTAGCGAAACCACTGCATAGACTCCTCGATAAAAAAGCCAACTGGAAATGGGGCCACCAAGAGGAAAACGCATTCCAAAAAATTAAAGACTTAATCACATCAAAATCTGTATTGATCCAATACAGTGACACACTACCTCTAACTGTCACCTGCGATGCTTCACCTTTCGGCATAGGCGCAATACTCAGCCACACACTACAAAGATGGCAGAGAAGCACCGATCGCCTTTTATTCCAAGACGCTGTCCAAGAAAGAAACTATAGCCAATTGGACAGGGAAGCCTTGGCAGCCATCTCGGGGGTAAAACGTTTCCACGAATACCTATATGGTAGGACATTTTCTTTGATTACCGACCACAAACTGCTATTGGGAATCCTAGCCGGAGACAGGGCCACCCCCAATATCCTGTCCCTAAGAATGACTAGATGGTTAGAATTTCTGGCAGCATATAATTACAAACTCATTTATTGCCCAGGGAAAGCCATATCCCATGCCGATGCATTAAGCCGCTCACCACTACCAGGTCACGATGATGATCCAGCTCCCACCACACAGACCCTACAAATTGAAACGATCCCAAATTGGCCCATCACCGCATTGGACATCGCAAGGGAAATGGCTAAAGATGCACTGATGGCCCGAATATTGAACTGGGTGGGATGGGGTTAAAACCGAGACTTTTAAACCTTTTAATAACCAGCAAACTGAATTATCAATTGAAAAAGGGTGCATTTTGTGGGGAGACCGGGTGGTTGTCCCTCAAAAATTACAAGAAGACGTGCTAAACATGTTACACGAAGGACACCCCAGCATGGTAAAGATGAAGTCCCTGGCCAGAAGCTACGTTTGGTGGCCAGGAATAGATAAAGACATTGAAACCTGGGTTAAAACATGTAACAAATTCCAATCATCCAGACCCCCCCCCCCTTCAGCACCGGTTCTTGACTGCGAGACACCCAGAGGCCCCTGGTCAAGAATCCATATGGACTTTGCCAGCCGCACAAAAGGATATACTTACCTAATCATCGTGGATGCCTATTCCAACTGGTTGGAAGTCGTCATCATGAATTCAACAACGACAGAAGCCATCACCAAACAACTTAAAAAACTTTTTGTCACCCACAGCCTACCAGATGTAGTAGTATCAGACAATGGGCCACAGTTTACAGCCTTGGCTTTTGAACAATTCCTAGCAGGACATGGAATACGACACGCTTTGACAGCGCCACCTCATCCGGCAGCGAATGGAAGAGCGGAACGCATGGTCCATTACACGAAAGAAGCATTGGAAAAGCTTGATGGAAATGATATGCAAGAAAAAATCAACACCATGCTCACCATCCA